TCTGCTTAGCTGTACAGACACCCCAGGGTCACCCCCACGAACCCCGAGCTGCTGCTCTTGCTGCTGCTGCTGCTGCTGCTGCTGCTGCGGCTGCGGCGACAGCACTGCAGCTGCTCAACCATACGCATGCATTCGCAGATAGTTGATACAAGCTGAAACAAACAGCCTGCAGCAGTAGCAGCAGCAGCAGCAGCAGCAGTAGCAGCAGCAGCAGCAGTAGCAGCAGGAACAGAAGCAGACAGGGGTGACCTCTTGAGACAGACGTGAGTAGAAGTAGAGGAATAAGGGATTTTTAGAGGCATACAGCAGCAGCAGCAGCAGCAGCAGCAGCAACAGCAGCAGCAGCAGCAGCAGCAGCAGCCCGCCAGGCGAGCCCTGCTTAGAGATCTGCTGCTGCATTAGCTTCTGTTGCCTTCGCTATTGTTTTTTTTCTGTTCTCTTGTTGCCGTTCTCGCTGCTGCTGCTGCTGCCGCTACAGCTACTCCTGCTGCTGCTGCTGCTGCTGCTCCTGCTGCTGCTGCTGCTGCTGCTGCTGCTGCTGCTGCCATGTACAGCGACACAGAGACAGCGGACCTATCTGAGACCCCCTTCTTTCGCTCCGCCTCCAGCGCAGTTCCTCAGCAGGCTGTCTGCACTGAAGACACTGCTGCTGCTGCTGCTGCTCCTGCTGCTGCTGCTGCTGCTGCTCCGTCTTCGGGAGACAACAAAGTTGCTGTCCCTGCAGCAGCAGCACCAGCAAGAGCACGAGTAGCAGCAGCAGCACCAGCAAGAGCACGACCAGCAGCAGCAGCAGCAGCAAGAGCCCCTGAGCGCCCCACCTTCACTGGCAGTCTCCGCCAGCAGCAACGAATGCAGCTGCCTCCCTCTCAGACAAGCCTGGCAGCAGCAGCAGCAGCTGCTGCTGCTGCTGCTGCTGCTGCCCCACCAACTGCTGCAGCAGCAGCAGCTGCTGCTGCTGCTGCTGCTACTGCTGCTGAACCCGAGCTGCAACACAGCCTCACCCAGCTCTCAGAAGGAGAAGTCGATCCCCTTTCGTTTGCTGCTGCAGCGCAGCAGCAAAGTGAGAAGGTTATGTGGACTGTCGTTACACCCGAGACGCAGCAGCTGCTGTACCAGCAGCAGCAGCAGCAGCAGCAGCAACAGAAGCAGCAGCAGCAGATAGAACAACAAATGGAGTGGAGACACAAAATAGAAGAACAGCAGCAGCAGCAACAGGAGCAGCAACGCTTGATAGAGCAACAGCTGCAGAAGCAGCAAGAGATAGAGCAGCAGCAACTGCAGCAACTGCAGCAGCTGCAGCAGCAGCTGCTGCAGGAAAAGGAGAAGTGGCAGGGGCAGCAGCAGCAGCAGCAGGAATGGCAACAAACATACGCAGAGAAGCTGCAGCAGCAGCAGCAGATGGTGATGGATTCTCAGCAGCAGCAAAAAGCATGGCAGCAGCAGCAGCAAGAACAGCTGGAGTTGCTGAGGCAGCAGCAAGAGGAGTATCTGCGGCAGCAGCAGCAGCAGCACGATGAGGAGCTGCAGCAGCAACTACAGCAGCAGATGCAGCAGCAGCATGGGCTGCACGAGCAGCAGCTGCAGCAGCAGCAAGAGCAGCTCCTGAAGCAGCAGCTGCTGCTGGAACAGTTGCTGCAGGATGGTGATCGCATGCATGCGAAGCAGCAACAGTCGGAGCAGCAGCAGCAGCAGCAAACAGAACAGCAACAAGAGCAGCAGCAGCAACAGCAGCAGCAGCAGCAGCAGCAGCAGCAGCAGCAGGAGTTTGCTGCTGCCGGCCCGCGTCGCTCTCTTACTTTCCCCCCCAGCAGCAGCAGCTGGCAGCAGCAAGCCACCAGGAGAGAAGCCTCATTCCCTCTCTCAGGACCTGCAGCAGCAGCAGCAGCAGCAGCAGCAGCAGGTGCTGCTGCTGCTGAGACTCGCACGCCAGAGCTGAAGCAGCAAATTTGCTTCTGCGCGTCCCCTGATGCTGCTGCATCACATGAGAAGGCAGCAGCAGCAGCAACAGGAGATGCAGCAGCAGCAGACGCTACTGCTGCGCAGCAGCAGCAGCAGCAGCATGGATCACAGCAGCTGCTGCAGAGCAGGAGCAAGTGTCTTGAAGGGCCGTCATCTGCTGCAGTGCAGCAGCAGCAAGACGTGCTGCTGTCATCCAGTGAAAGTGCTGCTGCTGCTGCTGCTGCTGCACAGCAGCAGCAGCAGCATGGCGACTCGTTTGAGTCTGGTGTCTTTGCAGCAAAGCGGCGGTTGCTGCTGCAGCAGCAGCAAGCGGGTCTGTTGCAGCAGCTGCAGCAGCAATGGGCGCAGGAAGCAATCGCGCAGCACGGGGAGGAGCTGCTGCAGCACGAAGTCTTTGAGCAGCAACTGCTGCTGCAGCAAGTAACGCGGGAGCAGCAGCTGCTGCTGCAGCAGGAACAAGTTGAACAAGAGCTTCTGCTGCAGCAGGAAGAAGCAGAGAAGGAGCAGCTGCAGCTGATGCAGCGCTACGAGTCTCTGCAGCAGCAGGAGCTTCGCCTGCAGCAGCATCACCAGCAGCAGCAGCAGCAGCAGCAGCAGCAGCACGCGGCTTCTCTGCTGCGCCAGAAGCAGCTGCAGGAGAGTTGCTGCAGCCACAACGATGTGCTGCTGCAGCAGCAGCGGGAAGCGGCCCTTCAGAAGCAACAGACAGAGAGGGAGATGCTGCAGCAGCAGCAGCAGGAAGAGTTGCTGCTGCAGCAGCAGCAGGAAGAGTTGCTGCTGCAGAGAGGGGGCGATCAGCTGCTGCAGGTCCCCTTATGTGATGAACACGGGCAGATTGCTGCTTCGCTGCAGCAGCAGCAAGCGCTGCAGCACCAGCAGCTGCTGCAGCAGCACCAAATGCAGGCTCTGCAGCAGCAGCAAGAGTGGCAGCAGCAGCAGATGCGGCAGCTGCAGCAGCAGCACATGCTGCAGCAGCAGCAGCAGCAAGAACGCAGACAACCCTCGCCTAGGAGGTTTCTATTAAACAAGCAGCAGCGGCGGCAGCTGAGGCAGGAGAGGCAGCAGCAATCGCTGCTGCAGCAGCAGTGGATACTGCTGCAGCAGCATCAGCAGCAACTGCATCTGCAAGGACAACTGCAGCAGCAACTGCTGCAGCAGCACATGCAGCTACACAAACGCGACCAGCTTCAACTGCAGCAGCAACTGCTGCAGCAGCAGCTGCAGCTCCTCAGCATCCAAGAGCAGCAGCAAACGCACCTCACCCCAAGGGCAACTCTTCTGTCTCAGCAGCAGCAGCAGCAGCAGCAGCAGCAGCAGCAGCAGCAATTACACAATCAACAACAACAGAAATCTCCGCTCGAGCAGCAGCAGCAGCAGCAGCAGCAGAAGTTGCAGCAGCAGCTGCACACCAGCGCAACCTACCGGGTCTGCGAAAGGAAGCTGCAACTGCAGCTGCACCTGCAGCAGCAGCAGCAGCAGCAGCAGCAGCAGCAAGAGCAGATATCTGCAGCAGATGCGAGACTGCAGCAGCAGCCAGGGAGACGTGCGCAGCAGCAGTTTAACATCCAGCAGCAGCAGCAGCAGCAGCAGCAGCAGTGGAATGGCCGGCAGCAGCAGCAGCAGCATAAACATACAGCAAAGGAAATGCGGGGGGACTGCCACAGTCGCAGCAGCAGCAGCAGATGCATTTGCGGCGGTCTGCAGATGCAGCAGCAGTTGCAGCAGCAGCAGCAGCAGCAGCAGCAGTTGCAGCAGCAGCAACAGCAGCAACGGCTGCACCATACCCCAAGCGTCTCCTCCTTGGCGTCGCTGCAGGAAGGGGACCCCCGCTGCAGCCAACCAGATGCAGCAGCTCAGCAGCAGCAGCAGCAGCAGCAGCAGCTGCAGCAGCAGCAGCAGCAAGGTAATTGGGGGTGCTGTTGCGGCTTTTGTGCAGGAGGCAAAATAAAGAGCATGCAGCGAGAAGCAGCAGCAGCATTTGCAGCAGCAGCAGCAACTGGAGCAGCAGCAGCAACGGGAGCAGCAGCAGCAGCACTGCAGCAAACGGAGAACCTGCAGAGACACCCCACCTGCTGCCTCCTGACGGAGCAGCATCAGCTGCTGCAGCTGCACAGCCTGGGGTGTACAGCGCAGCAGCAGAACCTGCTGCAGCGCAACCAGCAGCAACTGCAGCAGCTGCTGCAACAGCAGCAGCAGCAGCAGCAGCAGCAAGGTGCTGCACCTTCCGATGCTGTCTTTGGGTCTATCCCTTGCTGCTGCAGCAGCCCACGTGCGTTGCTGCCTCAGCAGCAACCCCTGTATAACGCAGCAGCTGAAGCAGCAGCAGCAGCAGCAGCAGCAGCAGGAGCAGCAGAAGCAACACGAACTGCAGCACCAGCTTGCACTACTGCTGCCAGCACTCCGAGATACAACAGACCCCAACCTCTTGCTGCTGCAGCAACGCCGCATGCAGCAGCAGCAGCAGCAGCAGCCTCTAACCGCCCTTGGAGCTGTTGGGGGGGCAGCTGCTGCAGCAGCACCCGCTGCAGGCCAGGCAATGAACAGCAGCAGCAGCAGCAGCAGCAGCAGCAGCAAGCAGCAGGCTGCTGCTCTCAAACAGATATATTCAGCACTAGCGTCTCCTGCACCTGCTGCGTTGCCTGCAGCAGACAAACCCCAGATGAGCCTGAGCAGCAGCAGCAGCAGCAGCCGCAGCAGCAGCAACAGTCGCTGCAGCAGCAGCAGCTGCTGCAGCATCACCTGTGCACTGAGACGCCAGAGGTTCCTTCGTTACCTCTGCAGCAGCAGCAGTGCTGCTTGCTGCAGCAGCAGCTGCAGCAACAGCAGCAACTGCTGCTGCTTCAGCAGGACAGCAAACGCAAGAATCTGCTGCTGCTGCTTGGAGGGGGCGGAAGCAACAGCAACACAAACCCAGCAGCAGCNCAGCAGCAGCAGCAACTGACACCGCGTAGCCCCTGCGCTGTGCCCGCTCCGGGGTGTCAGCAGGCCATGCAGCAGCAGCAGCCGCAGCTACTACAGCAACAGCAGCTGCTGCAGCAGCAGCAGTTGCTTCAACAGCAGCAGCTGCTGCAGCAGCAACAGCTACTGCAGGCACAGCAACCCGAGCAGCAGCTCCTATGGCAGAGCAGCAGCAGCAGCTGCTGCTGCCGTGTCAGCGGTGTTTGCAGCAGCAGCTGCTGCTGCAAATGAATGCCGACAGCACATTCTAGCATAGCAGCAGCAGCAGCAGCAGCAGCAGCAGTAGCAGTAGCTGCAGCAGCAGCAGCGTGAGCTCCATGCTGCACTTGGCTAGTGAGTGTGCTGCACCATGCTGCGTCAACAGGCCTTCAGCAGCAGCAGCACTATGCATTTTCGTGCTGCTGCTGCTGCTGCTGCTGCTGCAGCTCGTACTGCTGCTGCTCCTGCTGCTGCTATTGCTGCTAAGCGCACACCTGTTTATCTAGAGAGAGCTGAGACAGCAGCAGCAGCAGCAGCAACAGCAGAGAAACATTCTGTTGTTGCTGCTGCTGCTGCTGCGACTGCTGCTGCAGCGTGCGCATGCATACATGCAGCAGCAAGAGTAGCAGCAGACGCAGCAGCAGCAATAAATTTATTGAGACAAACTTTCGGTGTCTTTAAAACTAAGAGGGTTCAAACAGAGATTCGTCTGCTGCTGCTGCTGCACCTGCTGCTGCTGCTGCTGCTGCTGCNCTGCTGCTGCTGCTGCTGCTGCTGCAGGTGCTGCGGCAGCATCTTCTCCTGGTGTTGACGCTGCAGGCACAGCTGCTGCTGCGCTGTC